AACTTTCTTATTAATGAAGATAATTCATTTTGGTAAAAACATTCTCGGAGCACTTTTTTCCATAGAATCTATTGAGATGAGGAGTTTTTCTACAGGGCGTTCAGATTGCTGTGCACCATCCCAAACTCAGTTTTTTTAAATGGACCACCCTATATTTTATGATATTTTTGAGAAGCTCGTAAAATTTACTAAATTTTGGTGTATCACTCGTCATGTTTATCCCAGAAACCATCAGCAACATCACGATTTAAAAATTAAAATATTGTGCCTACAGAAATCAAGATTGCCCTGACTAATGAAATGACATAGGATCTCGCATAGGATGCTAACATGTTATAGTTGAAACCACCGATCTAAAGTTTTTACGTAAAGAAGCAGTAGGCCGTGATCATGATTATTCTGTTTTCGTTGTTTGGCAGCTTTTAAATAGTTGAGAATTGACAGTAGAACTCGATAATGTTGTATATTTTGGTATTTTCGGTAGAAATAAAATATATTCATAAGGTTTTTGAAGAGTTTTAAGGAATGTATGAAAATTACGAAAAGTTAACATGCTTGAATGTTACATAGAAAGTAACAAAAATGCTCAGGCGGCAGAAAACTTGTATTTCTAAAGATATATCGAACGACAGCAACCATCCAGGGATATATTTGCTAGACTTGCCCATAATCTCCAAAATTTTGGTTCTTTCAACAAACCCAGTGCAAGTTATGCTCAAAATCAAGGAATTCAAAATGAAAATGAAATGAAAACTATAACCGTATTGGGAACTTCATGGTATGGCATTTGAATAAGATACAAAATGAACCAGATTCCGCCATGAATTGTATTTGGACCGACGAAGCTTCGATTAGTAGTGCGGGCATATTTACCTATATTTATGATGGACCGCTGGATTCTAGAGAATATTTGGATATTTCAAGGAACCAGGTTGAACCGTTCTTGGAAGATATTCCTATTAATCTGATACCCAGAGTAGTTTTCCAGCACGATGGTGCCCCTGCACATTGTGCAAGGATTATCAACGATTACCTCAATGTCCAGTTTGGTGAGAAGTGGATGGGAAATCAAGGGCCCATACAATGGCCTGCCCGGTCACCGGACCTGACGCCCTTAGATTTTTTTCTTTGGGGTAGAATTAGAGACTTATGTCATAAAAATAATAATTTCAATAGCCGGAAAGAATTAGAAAGGGTGTTGTGAGATGCGTTTAACCGAGTTCTAAATAAACAACTCATTAATGCAGCTAATGCTGTTACCAAAAGATGTAGAATTTGCCTTCAACAAAATGGGGGACAATTTGAACATTTGCTGACAAAATTTCATCATGTTTGTGTTTATGTTCATTCAATATCGTTGATTAAGTTCCATATAATTTTATGTTAGGATTTAGTGTTAGTGTAATATTGTTGGTTTGTTGTTGTTGTCCTTTGTATTTTAAATAATTATAAATTCATTATGATAACTATGAGTAATTCAATCATGAAACTTCAGATCTGTAGTTTTAATCATAACATGTTAGCATCCTATGTCATTTCATTAGTCAGGGCAATCTTGATTTCTGTAGGCACAATATTTTAATTTTTAAATCGTAATGTTGCTGATGGTTTCTGAGATAAACATGACGAGTGATACATCAAAATTTAGAGAATTTTACGAGCTTCTCAAAAATATCATAATATATAGGGTGGCCCATTTAAAAAAACAGAGTTTGGGATGGTGCACAGCAAGCTGAACGCCCTGTAGAAAATTTCCTCATCTCAATAGATTCTATGGAAAAAAGTGCTCTGAGAATGTTTTCACCAAAATGAATTATCTTCATTAATGAGAAAGTTATGGAGCATTGAAGAAATCAAGGAATTTCGAGAAAAGCCCTCTGGCGGCCAAACGATAAGGGATAGCATAGTCTCGTTTGCGCCAGTTGTTTCCTCATTGAATTTAAGCTCCGGACACCTAGGTTAATTTTTTTCCATCTCTTCAAATAAGGGGTGTTCCCATAAGAACGCATCCAGTTTGGGACACCCTGTACACCTTAGTAGAACTTTTAACTCAAAATATGTTCATAATGATCCTTTTATGCATAAATAATGATTGACGACATAATTCGATCGGAAAATTAACTGGAATGTTTAATTTTTGGACATAAATAATAGTACCTTCTGGAAACGGACCCTCTTATGACGTAGAAACCTCATCTCGCCATGGTTAAAAGGAAATACCAAACGCCGGACGGAGACTGAGGCAACTGATATATTAATTCTTTCAACTGTGATCTCCCGCTAATTCACTCTGTAAGAAATCATGTACCATTCATCTCTGTCTGGAATTGCCTTGTTTCCGTATTAGGGTTTTGAAGTCACATCATCGCCTCGTTTCCAGAGGTCCGAAAAATCGGGGATTTCAATAATTTTTTATAAAACGTAGGGAGCTCACAGCAAGCAACGGTTTGCGGTGGTGAGCTAGTTTGGGTAAGTACTATCGAATTATGAAATGAAATGTTTTTGTGAGCCCACTGTCTTACCGAATTATACTCAAATTTTTTTTTTGGTCGAAGTGAACTCAACATTCATAATCAGAGTTTTGTTGCCTTTAGGAAATTGAATTAAAAGAACTGCCAGAAAAATGTACTCGTCTTACGGACTCCTAATTTTTTAGA